ACCAAAAAGTATGAAAATTGCCAGGTTATGTCATGCTGTGGTAACAAAATCACCCTAAAATCTTCCTGACTTAACAGATAATTTATTTCTTGCTCATGCTCATATTCACTGTGGGTCAGCACAGGGGCTCTGTTCATCAAAGTTACTCAGGGACCCAGGCTGAGGGGGTGCTCTCTCATATCTGCTGCCATGCTTAGCAGTCAGGAGAAGGGATAGTGATTGTCGAAAGCTTCCACTGGAAATGGCGTGTCAGAGCGTCATAAAAACGTGCAGTCTTAGAAGCACATAAGTGAGAAAACTAACCAAACAGAAACTCATATTCTTGAGTTCTTTGTACCCTTTCCCCCAACATTATTGGGTCAGTGAGTATCCAAAAGCCATTGCTTATGGGTGAAGAGAGAACCAAGAGTATTAATTCCAGAAGGATGTTGTTCATGAGGTACTGAGCCCCATGCCACGTCCTAGACCATTATCTTTTCTTTAACAATGACTGTGCAATATTTAAGACATACAGTAAAGATATAGAATGAACAACTATGTGCCTACTAGCAGCTTAAGAAACAAAATAGTCCCTGTACCATTAAGCTCCCTTTGTGCTCACCCTCACCTGGGCAGTAAGACGGACAGTAAGTGTGTGGATGGAAATGTAATCAGTGTAGGGTCACTACCTGAATCGAAGTGCTATGAAGAAAGATAAAACAGGGTAAGTTAGGTATAGAATGGTAACAACGAAGTGAGTCTGGAAAGCCTTCTCTAAGGAGGAGACCTTTGAGCAAAGACCTAAGGGGAGTAGCTCTGTGAACAGCTGAGGGAAGAGCATTTTTTTTTTTTTAAAGATTTTTTATTTATTTATTTGACAGACAGATCACAAGTAGGCAGAGAGGCAGGCAGAGAGAGAGAGGAGGAAGTAGGCTCCCTGCTGAGCAGAAAGCCCGATGCGGGTCTCTATCCCAGGACCCTGAGATCATGACCTGAGCCGAAGGCAGAGGCTTTAACCCACTGAGCCACCCAGGTGCCCCGGGAAGAGCATTTTAATTGAAGGAAGAGTATATGCAGGACCTGAAGCTCGAATCTGCTTGAGGTGCTTGAGGCAGCCAGTGTGGCTGAGGTGGAGGAAGAGGTGGAGAGTGGAGGAAATGAGGTCAGAGAGGGAGCCAGAGGCCAGATGATTTAGGGCTTTGTAAACAGGGTAAAGTGTTTGAATTTGAACTTAAGGATGGGAAGCCTGTGGAGGATTTTGAGCTGAGTAATAACATGATCTCATATATATTTAAAAAAAAAATTCACTCTGGTGGTGCCTGGGTGGCTCATTCAGTCAAGCGTCTGCCTTTGGCTCAGGTCATGAGCCCAGGGTCCTGGGACTGAGCCCTACCTCCGGCTCCCTGCTCAGCGGGGGCCTGCTTCTCCCTCTGCCTGCCACTCCCCCTGCTTGTACTCTCTCTCTGCCTGTCAAATAAATAAATAAAATCTTAAAAAATAAACAGAACAACCACCACCCCACTGTGGCCTGTCATGTTGAGAAGAATACTCTAGGGGCCAAGGTCTGAAGCAGGGAGAACACATGGGAATGATAGTCCAAGTGGGAGATAACAGCAGCCTGAATTCAGTGGGGTGTTGCTGAATGTTTACAGGCTCTCCCTGGGGACAAAAAAAGAGCCCTGATTTGTAGCATTTGCTGATTTCCACGGTGTAAATACTCCCACTATGGTGATTTCAGGTTCCCAGTGTGCGGTCCCCGAATGAGGAGGTGGGAAGGCAAGGGCACTGTCCGCTGTCCTGAGCCTGTGGAAGCCGGCTCAGACACCCCGCTGCTTGAACTTGGGTGTTCAGCTGCCGGTGTGTTCTCAGGGGGCATTCAGGTTTATCTTCATTTTCTATGGTAGATGGAAGCTGTATCAGCTTTTCAGAAGGAGGGGATATGGAGGTTATGACGGGGAGAGAGTCCATTTATAATTTCCATCATGCTGGGCCCTTTCAAAATAAGCCTAGATGTTGGAGGCCTCGCAGGAGCTTTGGACTCTCTCAGATCCTTTGAAAGTGGAATTCAGCCCAAAACCTCCCTGCAAACAGGAAGCTGGTTTGAGTTAGAACATAAAATAAAAACCAGCTGATGCCCCTGAATGTTTTTCCCTTGCTCCTCCCACTCCGCAGAGCCAAAGGAAACTGCCTTTTTTTTGGTCTTTGGATAGTTGTTCAGAAAGTTAGAAAAAGCCAAAAACCATAAATCCTTTGAAAATAAGCCAAGTTTGGAGCCCAGGCAAACTTCTGCCCATGGGGTTTCCTAGCCCGGATGTCTGTCCCACCGCCAAGAGTCCTAGGAGCAAAGGGCCCGAGGAACACAAAAGTTGCCAGACATCAGAGCCCGGACCCCAGGCCCAGCAAGGAAAAGGTGGTCTGCAGCAGTTTCTCAAACTGGAGCTTCCAGCCCATTTGTAGGCCATGAAATCAATACCGTGGGCCGTGACCAGTATCATTTTTTTAATGAAATAGAATGTGATAGAAAATCAAGTATATCACATGCAATCAGGGAAGTATTGTTTTGTGATACTTTTATTTCAGTTTTCTGCACATGCACACACGTACATGGATCTATATACCAGGTCATGATAGAAACTTAAAAGCTGTCTTGCTTACTGCGGGTCATGGTCAAAAACGTTTGGTGAACACTGGCCTTAAAGGTAGGAGTAACTGACATCTCCTTCCTGCTTTCGCTTGCTGTCGAAAAGTCCAAGCTAGTTTGAGAATGAATCTTTTATGGAACTGTATCATCTGTCCCCAAAACACCTACCCAGACTCCTGGCAGAGGGAAGGAGAGCTGAGAACAGGCAGACTGGTCTGATTCTTTGGGACCAAAGCCGTAGCATTAAGTGAGGGATTGATGCAAATTTGAATCCAAAGGATTTACCTGAAATGATTCGCTGGAAAGGAATAGGACTTGAGCAGCCTTTTAGCTCACTGCCCCTGGTTCTGTGATCTTTCCCATCTATGTGGGTGATGCTGGCCTTGGGTTCCTCTCTCTCTCTTTCTCTCCTGTCTGCAGCAGGCAGTTGGTGCAACAGGAACGTTCCCAAGTGCCCTCTCCTCTGGGATAGCTGGAGATCACAGTGCCAGGATGGGGAGTGGTACATTGAGCTGAGCTTCCCCCCAGACTTCCCCGGGGGTGTTTTGTGCTCCCTACCCAGTGTGCCTGGTACTCAGACCTTTCAGCAAGCTCACTGGGTGCCAAGGCATTACACAGTGAAGAAAAAGTGAGGAAGGAGGCATAAGTTAGGGCAAACTCTCAAGAACACAGGTACAGTTAGTTTATCCTACACTAGGCTTAGTGGCTCAGGTAGGCCCCACGGTTACTGGCAAGTCCATTGCTTGTCAGGGGGCTCTGGGACTAACCTGCCTCTGTCAGTGAGTAGACCAAGTTGGAATTACTGGTCCACACCCCCCAGGGAGCTCAGAAGACTCTTGGGGGCCTTCCTGGAGGTATAGGTTTTAACTCTCATGTCCTGGGGGTTTATTTTGGTCTTTGGCCACCAAAGGGCATTTCTTTCTAACCTAATTCAAGCTAAAACGGTCCTTGGAGATAAGAATTTAAACCAGCCCTCTAGAAGGACTTTGAATTCTCCAGCTGGAACAGTAAGAGAGGAGAGATCCTAACCACCCTAACTGAATCTGGGTTTTCCTTCCCTATTTTTTTTAAAATTAAAAAAATATATATTTATTTGTCAGAGAGAGAGGCAGGCAGAGGGAGAAGCAGGCTTCTTGAGGCTTCCCTGAGCAGGGAGCGTGATGCGGGACTCATTCTCAGGACCCTGGGATCATGACCTGAGCCGAAGACAAGTGCTTAACCCACCGAACCACCAGGCATCCCGTTTGGGTTTCCCCTCTAGAAACTGGCCTAGACTAGGAGTAGACCACCCTGCTACAGACTTGAATACTCCTGAAGTGTTTCTGATTCACATCACCCTCCTAGGGCCTCCGAGGCTCTTAGCAGAGTACACTGTAGCCTATTTACATGACCTTTCCGCATTCAGATGCCTCTTTCTCTGAGCCGACAGAGAGACCAAGGACATCTCTGAGCAGGGCCAGTACAGGGAGTCCAGATAGTACTAGAGGGCGGGCCTCTATCAAGCAAGATGTTCTGTCGCAGACAGTGAGGTGGAGTGAGAAGAGGTTCCAGGGCATTCTGAATCTCTCATGGGATCATCTAGCAGAAAAGCCAGTGAGCTAATTTGAGGTTAGTTCAGTGTACGCCCTAGGGCTGAGCGTCCAGTGTTGGGTAACAATATTGTTGGTGAGAGTGATGGTGAATGTCGCATGTGGCCATGTCCTCAGAATCTCTGAGCACTTTACACATGTTTCCCTTTCATCTCTGTGGGAGTGGGGCTTAATAATAATAATTAGAGTACTCTGAGCATCTGTGCTTGGCAAAAAACAGCATCAAGTCAGGTTTCTGTCTCCTAGGCTCATAGTCTGTATGAACTGGTGGATGTTTAGGGTGGGTAGAGTTCTCTGGTGGAGGGGAGAAACGTGATGGGATGCAAAGATCAGAGATATTATGAGTCACCTAATTAATACCTCACATTCCTCTGACTCTTGGTAGATCAGAGCAGCCTTTCTTTCATGCCTGCCAAGGCACGAAGATCAGTGACTTCTCCTGACTCTCAGAGACCCAAGAGGCCAGTCTGGGGACCCTAGGCTTTATCTTGTAAATGGAGACTTCCCTCCATCTGGGGGAATGCTTTTTCCCCTGTGGCTATGAGCTGAGCTTTAATTCTTCATTTTCTTTCCCAGGGTCCCCACAGATTGAGCCCTGTTAAAACTCTGCGACGCACACTGGCTTTTCCCCCATGTGACCAAGGGGCGTGTGGCCTGGACAGACCCTGGAGAAGTCAGTAGCCCTATTCTCCTGAAGAAAGTAGTCAGCGTTTGCTAGGTGGTCATGTGTACCTTCAGCACCTCCTTCCCAACCCCATTCCATATGTCACTTCTCTGTCTTGCTCTGACAGGTGACCTTGGAGAAGGTGCTTGGAATAACAGTGTCTGGAGGCAGAGGACTTGCCTGTGACCCTCGATCGGGTTTAGTTGCCTACCCAGCAGGGTAAGTACATTGGAAGAAGGCTTACTGCATGGGAGTTTATAACCATGCTAAACCAGTTGTGGTGGGCAAGGGTTTTTTGGTTTCTTCTGGGAGATCTGTCCAGGTGAATGTTTTGGTACCTTTTCTGTAAAGGAGATACAGGGGCAGGTCAAGGCTCTTTGTGGAATGTTGTCCTTGTTGCCATCTGCCCAGTACATAGAGTCACACTTGATAGTACACACAGTTCCCATCACCATCTTTAATATCTACCTTCTAGTTACTTTCTCATGTACCACACAGTTTGCCCATTTAAAATGTACAATTCAGTGTTTGGTGCCACCATCACCACAGTTCATCTTCAAACATTTTCATCACTTCAGAAGAGAAGCCCCATACCCATTAGCAGTTAGTCCCCATTCTCCCCCAACCCCAAGAACCCCAGCCCCAGGCAACCACTAATGTACTTCCTGTCTCTATAGATTTATCTGTTCTGGACATTTCCTGTAAGTGGAATCATTCCATTTAAGTAGAATATCTGGCCTTCTGTGAGGCTTTTTTCCCTGAGCATCATGTTTTTAATGTTCATACATGTCATGTCGGGTATCAGTACTTTGTTTCTTTTTATGGCCGGAAAATATTCCATTATGTGGATGTCCCACACTTCCTCTAATCATCAGTTGATGGGCTTTGGGTTGTTTCCACTTTCCAGATATTTTTAGGAAAAATACCAGGTGCCTGGGTGGCTCAGTTGGTTAAGCATCTACCTTCAGGTCAGGACATGAGCCCAGGGTCCTGGGATCGAGTCCCACATCAGGCTCCCTGCTCAGGGGGGAGTCTGCTTCTCCCATTGTCTCTGCCCTTCCCCGCTGCTCATACTTTCACTCTCTGTCCATCAAATAAATAAAATCTTTAAAAAAAGAAAGAAAGAAAGAAAAATACCGCTTTGAACATTTGCCTACTCTTATCACTTGGAGAGATGTCAGTGCCATGGAAGAAAAGCAGGGTTTCTGGGGCCAGTGTTCCTCTGTTCCTTGCTGCCTTTTCACTCCTCTGCTCCTGCAGATGAGAAACCCCTCAGCCACAGTTTCTTTAGGCTCTTGCAAAAGTGTTTCTTTGGGAGGCTTGGTGCCCGTGCTGCTTCTGGTTCTCTCTGTCAACCTCTGTACCTTGCTGCTGGGCACGGGAGCCCAGAAATGGGAAGGCCACCCTGCTCCACCTGTCTTCCCCCACCGTCGGCTCAGGAGTGCCCACTTTCCTCGTGTGAGTTCCACAACGACTCTTGTAGTTTTTGTACCAGTATATGATTTTTCTTGGTTTGATCATCCCGTCCAAAATCTGCCTTTGTCAACAACTTGTTTTGTGCCAGGCCCTTTGCTAAGCACTTTGCAAGGAATGATTTCATTTACTACCCAGAGCAACCCTGGGTAGTGAGGTTGGTACTACTACTATCCCATTTAGAGCAGAAGCTAAGATAAAGAGAGGTTAAGCAGCTTGCTCCAGGTCACACAGCTGGTGAGTGTCTACACTGGCATTTCAACCCTAGTAGTCTGACTGTAAAGCTCTCGATCTCAAAATGGTGTGGGGTCGGGGAAGACCTGACTTCCTGCTTATTTTTTAAAAAAAGCTGCATCTTGAGCAGCTGCCTACCTGCCACACAATTGAGAAGAGCCCAATTTCTGGGCATCTCAGTCTATGCCAAGGAAACTTCTGGCCCTGGATTCTGGGGCCAGTGCCTCTCCTGATCTGCCCTTTGGCATCTGATGTCTGTGGTGGGGGTACTGTGAGAGCTGCACCAGCTTTCCTCTGCGGAGGCTGGGCCGGCCTCCTTCTCCCCTTCCAGAAGCAAGCTGATGAATGACCTCTGTTGCTGGATACCCTGTGCAGCCGGCCTCAGGGGAATTCCACTCGTGCCTGCCTCTGCCTGGGAAAGCCGGGTTCCTTCTTGTTGGATTTTGGGCCGGGGCTGGATTTGAGATGGGCAGGAAAGACCTGGGTGGCTGCTTGGTCTGTGCTGAGCCCAGTGTGCCTGCCCTAGGGATTGTGGAGCTGTGCTCCCTACCTCTTCCTCCCACGCCCCTGACCCCAGGCCTGGTACTAAAGGATGTGTGATTCTGTGTGTGATCAGGGCCCATGCTGGCACATGTGTCTGGGAGTCAGTAGCCTTCCAGATGGTATATGGAAGCTTTGTATCTAGTAGGTTCCCTCAGGGTGCTTGGCTTGGGTGAGCCCTGGGCGGTGACATGATCTACTCCGTGACCTTTTGATTTCCTAGGACTTCCAAGTTCTTTCTTTGCAAATGCCCCTTTTTTCTGAGTATTTTTCGTTTTGCTCTGTGCTGGAGGTCCCTATTGTGCTTCTGAGGTGTCTGGGGCCCCCCAAAGTCTCTGTGAGCCAAGCAGGCTCTTTCCCTCCCTTCTCTTCTTCTTTTCCTATCTGGGGATCCTAACCCCACCCCCAATCTCTAGTTCCTACTGTGCTTGTTGCTCTAGGAGTGGCTCAGGTATCCTAGAAACAAGAAGAAAAACAAAGCTCAGAAAAGTCTCCCGGAGGCCTAGAGGCAAATATCAAACCAAAACAAAGTTTTTTGAAAGGAAATGAAACCGCTCCAAGAGGGTGGGGTAGTGGGGGGATGGGGGGTTGTGTGTCAGGCAGAGGTGGGTGACGTCTCTGGGCAGAGACCCCTCAGTTTTAGTGGCTCTCTTTTCCAGAGCTCCCCCTTTGCTGTTGTCTCCACAGAAAAGCCTACCCCTCACCTGTCACACTTGGAGTCCCCCTGCTCCAGGAGGCCAGGTGGTCCCCAGATAGCCTCTTGGAGGGACTCAGTTTAGTTGCACATCCATAATTGACTTGGGCCCCTCCCGTGGTTGGCTTGGTAGAGGGCTTAGGTGCTGCGGAGCCCAGCGTGGCCCCCAGTGCCATGGTGGGGCCCGTCAGTTCTGAGAGTGAGCTTCTCTTGACCCCCAGGGCCTCAGTCTGGGGCCTGGGCTGGGGGAATGCTCCGGGCAGAGCCCTCCACTGGAGTGAGAGGAGCCCTCTCCAGCAGCCTGGAGGAGACCTCTTCGTTGCCTCAGCTAGGGAGGAGGAAGGCAAACCCAGATTTCCTGAGAAGGCCTTACCGTTTACTCAGCCCATCCTGGAAGTCACGCTGAGGTTCCCCCAGTTCCAAAGCACTGGGCAAGGTGTAAAACCACAGTCTCTCGACCTGAACAGTGTTCTAATGACATCTGAGCTAAGGGCACATGGAATTAGCTTCTGACTATCTATGGGCAAGCCCTGTGTGGCGGTTTGCCAGGGAGTGCATGGGACTGTGGAGACACGGGATGGGCCTGAGAGAGGACACCTGGGCTTCGTGCCCTGGTGGATGGGAGTCATGTGTAGGGGTTCTCACAAGCCTTGGTCCCCTCGGGGCCTGTCTTCTGGTCACTCTGTGGGCCTCACATCTGACCCTGAGCCCCCTTTGCTCTTCCTCAGGTGGCTTGGTCCTAGATGCCTTCATTCATTTTTGGTCAGCCGCTGTTGTCGAAAGCTGCTCTGGGCCAGGCACTGTTCCCAGCACAGTGTGTACGGCAGCAGGGCAGGAAGCATGGCTGTGCTTTGTGGGGTTTAGGTTCAGGAAGGGCAGGCATGCCATAAGCGTGTAAGGCCATAAATGAGCAAGATGACATCAGAGATGGGAAGTGTTCTGAGAAAGTAAAACCAAGTGACGGAGAGGAGGGTAAGTGGCTAGTTGGCGGGGCTGGGGCTGGGGAAGGGTCTGCTTTAGGAGTGGGTGGTTAAGACTCAGGGGGAGGTCACGTTCAGCTAACGTCTGAATGACCAGGAGGAACGAACTTGTGAGGATCTGACTTGCCAGTGGTCCAGGTGGCAGAAGCCGCAGGGACAAAAGTGCCAGGGAGAAGAGGAACTGGGTACCTGTTTGAGGGGCTGAACGGTGGCCGTGGTGGCTAGAGCGTAATGGGTGGGAGGACGGGGGCCCAGACATTGCATTTTGGCGGGGCCCGTAAGTCTTAGAGTTCACAGAGATTCCCATCTTATTCCAGAAGGGACCGTGCTTAGAGTCCTCTGGGCAGAGAGAAGTGCTACCCAGCTTTCCACTGATACCCATGGTACTCTGTCTTCTCTCCCGCCTTTTGTTTGTTTGTTTGTTTTAAGATTTTATTTATTTATTTGACAGAGACAGCGAGAGAGGGAACACAAGCAGGGGGAGTGGGAGAGAGAAAGCAGGCTTCCTGCCACCAGGAAGCCCGAAGTGGGGCTCCATCCTAGGACCCCAGGATCATGACCCAATTCAAAGGCAGATGCTTAACCATCGGAGCCACCCAGGCACCCCATTCTCTCCTGTTTTTGAGGAGGGACTCATAAAATGCCCCAGAAACAGAGATGCCAGTAGGGCCCGTGACCTGGCCTCAGAGGATCACTTATTTGAAAGGCCCCAGGTGGCAGGCATTTAAAGAGGACGGCAACCAAGGATGCCTTCAGTAACATCCTAGACTCATTGTCTCTTAGAATAATTAAAGCTACATGGTCCCCCTTTTGGGAGTGAATCCAGAGGGATGGTTTATAATTCCACACCTGGGTGAGGATCCTGATGAGTCATTAGTGTCCAACAAGTCGTGTCTGGGATGCCACAGTAGGGGCTCCCATAGTTAACTGCTGATCCCCTGGATCTCGCTGTCCTTGTTAGTGGTGGGCCAGAGTGGCCTTCAGGAAAATGGCCAGGAGCACTGTGCTGGTCACTGTGCACACTGTCTTCTTCAGTCCCTGCCATAGTCCTGTGAGGTAGATATTACTCTTCCTGTTTTACAGTTTTACAACTGCGATGCAGAGAAGTTAAGGAACGCGCCCAAGATCACACAGTATGCTAGCACACAGGTCTGCCTTGCCCCAGTTTTCTTGTTCCTTCCATCATCACACTGCCCTCAAGTGTCCATGAGTCCGAAAAGCCTGAGGTAGGGGAGAACACATACCTGCCCTAGGGCCCTATTTCTCAGTTCTGCTCATCAGTGGGTTCCTTGGCTTTG